TCCCCCGGAGGAGCTGGAGGAAGTGTCTGGAGAGAGGGAAGTCTGGGCATCTTTGCTTAGACTGCTGCCCCCGCGACCCGGTCCCGGATAAGCGGAAGAAAATGGATGGATGGATGGATAAAAGTGCAAGTGAAAAAGGAGTGAACACTGATCAGAACATCAGCATGCGGTTGATCAAGCATAGTATGTTAGCTCTTAATATATATTAATATATTTAGCTATAAATGTGCTTGTGAGAAGTTGATAGATGTGTGTATAATGTGCACACAGAGTGATGAGACTAAGATGCTTATGAACACAGATACAAACACAATATTTCCCATGAAGTTTAAAAAATGGAGTGGGGGGGTTTAAAATACCTTCATCCCTTGGTCTGTTCATTGTAGACTCATGTTTTTTTGTGAGGGGACCTAAAGGGGGGGGGAGACAGAAGACAAAATTCAGAAACACTGCATTTGTAAGACAACAAAACAGAAAAGTAAGATAGCAAGCAAGGATTACTAGAGAAAAATATCAAAACTATAAGATGCTCTGTTCTGTGACTATACAGCTAAAGACAAAAGGTTTACCAGGATTTCACCCCAAACTCCTCTGTTTTGTGCTTAGGGTCTAGTCACAGACTGTCTTCTAAATGACCCCAGAGGCCACTTCTCCTCAACCTCTCTCCCAATCAGTCGTGACACACTTTTTTAAAGAAAAATCAATGGGCAGAATCAAGCCATCACTCTTTTCGGTCTGAAAAGGCAAAGGAATGCCAAGATGCTGTGTGTCCTGTTTCAGCTCAGGGCAGTGTTGCAGTCCTAAGGCAAAAGTCCCAGTACAATCTAGAGGGACTAGACTGATAGGAACTTAGGACACAGGCACAGATACTCATCCTGAATACATGTGACCACACATGCACATTGTGGACAGAGAGATACTGGCACAGAACCTGAAATGTGAGTCTTTCCTACAAAACTAGCAAAGACAGAGAGCTGTTTGTGATATTTATACCACCTGCAAAGGCTTGTGACAGGGCTCCCCTCACCAAGGTCAAAGAGGAGCCTATATTAGGCTTTAATAGTAATGGCAGTTAAATGCTACACAGGGAAGAGCCAATAACAAACATTTATCACAGTGGCCAACCAATGCCCTGTGTGTCAACCTTTGTAAGTCTTAACTGATAAGGATCACATTAATTTGTTTCTTCTTTGTTTCTGTCAGTGGGGCTTTTCACCACCCCACAATTACTGCGGCACTGTGTGTCGTTCTCAGTCACTGTCTACATGGTAAATGGTCTTATACTTGTATAGTGCCTTTCTATGCTTTTACAGCACACTCAAAGCGCTTTCACACATTATTCGGCCATTCACCCATTCGCACTCCCAAGCACTCACGCATTCATACACCGGTGACATCACCGGGAGCAACTGGGGGTTTAGTGTCTTGCTCAAGGACACCTCGACATGTTGACTGGGCAATCCGGGAATCAAACCGCTAATCCTCCGGTTAGGAAACGACCCGGTCTACCTCCTGAGCCACAGCCGCCCCCGGGGTTGTAAGGGGTTAGCCCAAAACTGATAAATGTATTAGGCTGTTTCCGGGATCTCCTCTCCCCAGCAGCCAGAGTGTGTGTGTTTCTGGAGGAAGGAACAACCCGGATTGTTTTCATGAAAGTCATTAAACACACTCGCATTCACACGCCCACAGCCCCATGCTACACAAAGCATGTTAACAGTATCCTTATCATCTGTTGCTGTCCTCTTTGACCCACCCAGCAGCACATTCCCTGCACATTCCCAGCAGTCACTCATTTTAAAGAATGCTGTATGTTACCAAGGTGTTAATCACTCCATCAGCATGTTTCTGACATGTGTTAGAAATTAATAAATTAGTCAGATAACTATTAGACATTAATGTATTAGTAATGCAATTTAATAAGCTTCAAAGTCTGCTCTAGCCTACTTTGCTTAAAGGTTAGAAGACAGTGTTGATTCTGATAAGTGTACCTTGACGCCAAATTGTTTTCTTGTATTAATCTTGTGTTAGATTTATGTCTGAATGATTGTTTTAGTTACGCACCACGTAACAACATCCACACACATCGAGCTACCTCATTTTTTTATGACTAGGTAACATGCAGCTGCTCCAAGCCTGTGGAGCGCTAGATAAGAGATGGAGTCTGCTGGACGGACTTTGTCTGTGTAAGGGGTTAGCCCAAAACTAATAAATGTATTAGGCTCTGTGTTTCCTGGATCTCCTCTCCCCAGCAGCCAGAGTGTGTGTGTTTCTGGAGGAAGGAACAAACCAGATTGTGTTCTGTAATCTTTATTTATATATTTTTTAAAATAAACCAGCACTAAAATCAAGAAGGACGAACTCCTTCCTTACTCAGATGTGTCCAATAAAAGAACTGGGGTATAACACATCTATTTCCTATTGATGACAGAGCATTACTGCACTCTACAATTATAATGCCGCATTTTCATCCAACCCTGTTATATGAATATGGTTTTTTGATATAAAATGTTTATTTTCTATCTAAATGGAAAAAGATCAATGCTTAATGGATTTGTGGCATCGTTGAGTGCTGCTGTGCAGGCGCCGGATCCAGAGAGCACTTCCTGTCATAGAGGGAGATGGTACAGTAGTTGGTCCTAGACTACCGAGCATACAGGTAGACAGACGGTTAATGGATGGAAAGATACATTAGGCCTCTATCTCGTCAGCACTTCCCCACTACTTAGCACCACTTTAAAACCACACCTCACCACTTAATGGAGACTACTATAATTTAATTTGTTTTCTAATGCCTAATAAAAAACTAACCTATATGTGAGAATAAGCTCCAATGACAGTCACACTTTTTAAACAGACTATCAAACTTCAACCTAAATTCACACAAAGTATTGTTTTAGACATCTTTTTGGCATCCATCACTTGCCCGTCTCATGGAACAGATAAAATTCTCTTTTATCAAAAACATCAATTCACATGGACTCTGAGATACAACCGTGAGACACATATTATCCAGAGACACCCTGCAGTTTTTTTTTTCACTTCGTCTATTTTCTTTACCTCTGGTGTGTTTAGTGAAGTGTAATCTCCAAAGACAGCGGTTTAACACACACAACTCCCCTGTTATTTATGTGTTGCAAATGATTTACCGCTATCTGTTATGACTGATCATGGTCTTAATGTCACTGTGAGCTTTAAGGTTTCACTGTCTTGCTGATTTTTTTCTGCTGAGGCTACAGAAAAACAAATTTTTGTACAATAAATTTCTACTGTCCGTCAGCTTGGAGAAAACAGTTTGTCCGTTGGCCACTGTCCTTTATGCTCATCAAGAGCTGCTGACAGACAAACAGCTGTTCTAATGACAAAGATGCTGATCAGAGGTTGCTGATGGTATGGACTGAATGGACTTAATACTTCAGTGGTGCTTATACACTAGCCATCTTATTTTTGTGGATTTGCAGTACGACTTCACATGGGCACCTCACTTTCAGTACACAGAATCCACTTGACTTCTAGTATAAAAAACAAAACAAAAAAACACAGAGAAGAACTATTGTTGTGGTTAGGATTATTTTCCTTCATATAATCTGTTAATTTTTTTTGGTTAATTGATTGTTCAGTCTATGAGATGTCAGAAAATAATGAAATTACCCAGGCCACACTTCTAGAACCCATCAAGAATCCAGGAGTCTCCAGACATGCTGGGACCTCTGTGAGGCTGCACTTGACTGCTAGTTATTGTCACCATGCTAACATGCTGATGTTTAGCCAGTACAATGTGTACCATGTTTACCATCTTTGTTTAGCATGTTAGCATGCTAACATTAACTTACTAGCACAAGGTTCAGCTAGTATGTCATGAATCAGTGTATTGAATAAAGTAAAAATCTAACCTAATGATGGAGCTACAATAGACGACAACTCTGGGACTTGCTAATAAACAAGTTACAGTTTATCCTGAGGAAAGCATGAATGTCTAAATCAAATCTCATAACAATCAGTCCAGCAGTTATTGAGACATTTCATTAAAACCTACCTGTTCAGCAACATGGCAGTGCTAAATTAAACTTGGCACATCACAAGAGCCATAAATGTTTATCCTATGCATACCATGAAGGTCTACAAAAGTTAATGACAGTCAATCTAATATTTTGTTTAAATTTATCAGTCTGGATCAGTGGTGAACAGACCAACCAAAATAATGACATTGTTGTCACAGTGTCATAACAATAAAAACAAACAATATGTATTCAGTTAACAAAGATATACAACTTAGAAAAGCACCAAAGCTTCACATCTGAGACATTTTGCACTGAAATAGTCTAAATGCTCAGCCCTGATTTTTGACAACTGAGTTTGTAAGAAGTATTACAAAAGCATAGACACGACAAAAGTAGCTAAAGGCTAACAAACACACACAGTTCAAGGGCCAAAAACATATTTCCAATCTGCCATATAAGAAACCTGCCAGTAGGATGACTGTCGCATGATGTAATGGGCCAGTGGTCAGTGAAATGCAATGGCCTGTGCAGGAGCATTTAGCTTGAGTTGTCCCAGTATTCTTTGACCTAATGCAGCTCCATCTCTCAGTCAACAGCGTTTCTGTTCGGTTCAGTGAGCTAGTGGCCAGAGCCAAGCTGTCTCTCTTCCCTCTCCATTTCCATTTCAGTGCAGTAAACGGGATGAAGCTGCAGTATGTCATGTCTGTGGTGGCTTGTCTGCTTGACAAGGTGTCAGACACAGCTCTGGGTCCCCTACATCCAAGCAGCAGCTTCTAGCACATCCACTCCTATCCTTCCTCACCCCATCTCTTCTACTCTGCCCCTAGTCTACAGCTCCATCCTTGCCTCTACTGTCCTGCCTCCTAAAAATATTGTTTTTAATAAAGAGCAGGGTAAATGGTTGCTCTAGCGGCAATAAAAATGAAGGATCTTAGGCCCTCATCTGAGGAGTGTCTTGAGGAAATAGGAATGTGGTGAGACAGTGCTCTTGCCTAGCAGCCTGGCAACACAGAAGAGTTAGGGGGAACACAAGAAAGAGGTAGTGAGAGAGAGATAAATGGAGAGTGTGAAGCTCACTGTTTAGTTCATGCGAACATTTGTGTTTATTTATATTTTTCAAAGGAGATATTTCATCTGAATTGAAGAAGGAGCAGGCTACACAGTGGTCTGGTGGGAAAGGGCACTGAGCTCATTTGCATTCAGAGCAGTGACCTCCTTCTACTGCCATCTGCATAAAGATGGAGGAGAGAAGAGAAGAGGCAGGGACAGTTTCAGAGAGTAAAGAGCAGGAGGAGCAAACAGATGCAGAAACAAATAAGAGCTACAGATTTTCTTTTGTCCAAAGTATAACACAGAGAATATGGTGTGATGATCTGACCTGGCACCAAAACATTCGGATCCGGGCTGCAAAGGAATATTTATTTTGGCACACCTACAGCACATCTGCCATGAACTGTGCTAAACAGAACATTACAACACCAGCATCTTCCCTTTATACATGTTTTACCATCATTTTACTGGTACTAAGGTAACAAAATTATTTACTACCTAACAAAGCTTATTTTCACTGAAACACTACTAAATTCCATACACAGGAACGGATGTGAACAGCTGCGTACACATACAGCAAAAACCACGAAAGGCCCCTAAGTCTACAACTTGATAAAAGCTCTGTGAAGCTGTACTCACATGCTAACATACTGATGCTAAGCAGATAATGTATAATGCTTGCCATGTTCACCATCTTATGCTAGCATGTTAGCATGCTAATGAGGATGAGGGAGAGGCCTTTAGTTTTTCAGGTATTTGTTCATATTCCAAAAAGTTGAACAAATCAGTTTTGAGCAGCTGATACAATAGCGCAACTTAAAAGTCAGCAGCCACCAATAACAATTCATGCTGAGGGGGGCATGAATGTCTACACCATTTCATACTAATAAATCCAGTGGTTGTTGAAAACTCTCATTTGAAACCACAGTCGTCATTTTGGTGCAAGAGGCAAAGGATTAGGATTCATCATCTGGGAACCATGAATGTCTACTAAATTCCAGCACAAGCCATGCAGTAGTGGTATTTCCCCAAAAACCAATGTCCTGAGTTGTTGAGATATTTCAGTCTGGGCATTACCATCCTTAGAGATGCATTGCTAGAGTGGCAGACAATCTAAGCACAGATGGTACGCTGAATCCTTCTTGGGATATTTAATGCCATCAGGATGTGTGCTTTGCAGACTCCTCCAGATATTAAAGAAAATGATAAGTTACATTTCCAGCAATGACGGTGTTAAGGTTTAAAGGAAGTTTTAAAACTGGTACTTTTGATACAAATACCAGTTTAACACAGAGTAAACAGTTTGAGGGATTGTGACAACAGTTACATGTGATAAATGTAGTGTGCTTTATTTCAGGGGCACTTCTCTCTCTCACAGTCTCTATTTCTCTCTCTCACACACAAGGCAAAACATCTCCCTAGGGACAGCACCAGCCTTGTGTAAGCAGTGACCCATGACAAAAAGTGACACATCCTGACAAGCAGACAGGGCTACATATAAAATCTGTTTCACTCATTTGCACATCTTTTCTCCTGGGAATAACATGAGAGGTTCTACATCATCCTCTCAGTGAGCATGTGCCATATGTACAACATACTGTACAACTATTAGTTCTAACTCGACCCATGTATGTACGCGTTCTTGTGCAGTGAGTAGTTAAAATCACTTGTTCACAACATCTCTGAAGCTGTGGGCTCTCATTGTACAAGAGAAAGAATATTTTCCATAAGTAATTAATCTGTTTCCATCATTTTGTTGGGCTATGGAGCATTCACTACAATAATCTGAAACACTGACACAATCTTTTTAAATAGGTTATAGTTTCAGCGTTAACAAAGATGTGCACCACTTTAGACTAATCTTAATGATAGACTTCATACAAGAGCAGCAGCAGTAATGCAAGAATGTGTGTTATTGAACACACTCAGGCAATTCTCAGGTGATGTTTTAATGATGTTTGTTTTCACATTTTATCATTTGCTTTGCTTACTGTCATCAGTAGCATATGGTTTGCCTCCAAAGTTGCACTTTGATCCTGTGTTCTTTTACCTGCCCACATGCTTTCTCAGACGCTCTCCACAAGATCAGTCATGTAAGAAGTGCTCTCAGATAGCCCAAGAAGAGATGGGGGTTTTGCTTATAGTGATATTTACTTTTTTGACAAACAAGGTTATTCTGTGACAATGTACTGTATTTGCTATATGTCCTTTCAAACTTGCTGCTGCACCAACAGTAGTTTTCACAGAAACCACAGTGCAACATAGGCAAAACAAGCCCAAAGGTTTCATTCCAATGTAGCATGTGCATACTGTCAAAATGGTCACTAAGGATTAAAACAACATTTTAACAATACTACAGCTCTTTGTTACTGTAACTTAAAAGACAAGTGGCTGCATAGCAAATGTGCCCTTAGTAAGACAGTTTGTCAGTAGTTCAGACTGAGTTTTTGAGTCATAGCATAAAAGGCTTCATCTGTTCATATGGCAATGCAAATGTTAGTCTTTAGCTAACTGAAATAATAAAAATACGCAGACTAGTTCATCTTAATGGTTGACTATTAAAAGTAAACCATGTCCTTTTTCATATACTCTGCAATGGATCCCTATGATTGACAAGATAAGGTGAAAGGAACAGGGAAAGCAGAACTGTGTGTTTGGGTTCAGTGGTGTTGTTTTTACAATCATCTAAATGTTAAATTTTATATGTTTTAGTAGGAGTTGAATATTTAAAATTATGTCACTTTGCTTTTTATTATAATAGTACTGACCTAAGTCCTCTTCATTACTACAGATGAAGAGTGGGTGGAGGTCTTATGCTGGGCAACAGACCCACATTGAAGAACTGGACATTCATTTATAAGGAATGACCTCTTTAATGTGGATTTCAATACCAGATCAATAAGCTGTGAATTTTCATGAATGGTATGATGTCATATTTTGAAGGGTGATTGTGTTGCTAGTGAAACAAGTGTTTCTTTGATTAGTTTCTCTCATTAATATTGTGTTTAGACAGATTTTAATTACAGAATAAATGTTACTGGTTTGGTAAAACATACTGTATATGAGCTTTACAGTATATATACAGTTCTGGGAAATTCCTCTCAGTGCAGGGACTAGTGTCTGTGATTAATTTGACAGAGATTTTTCTCTTCCACTGGTTGAAATAACAAAATGTTAATGTTGTCTTAGAGTAACCATTTGATTTATTACTGTACATTTGCGTTTCACTTTGTTCAGTCACTCAAAACACACGGCCTACTCTGCACTGTTCATGCAAAAGGTTCCTGTTACCAAGATAACATAATTAATATGCTGAAGATGATTTAAACTCATTAGTGTTAAATCAAGCTAAAATGCAGCATGACACAATGTGGCAATTCGTACAAAAATCAGCAAAAATTTATTAAATATGAATATAAAGTATGGCTTAAAGTACAGTGCTTAACAGACTATTAGTTTCAGGTAGATTGTATATATGACTATTTTGCAGCATGTACATTTAGTGATTTAGATTAATAACTGATTGCTATCTGATAGCAATTGAGAATGACATTCATACAAGCCCAGGGGACTATCAGAGAACAACTTCTTTGATAATCTTTTGAGGGTCTTTTGGCTCCCCTTCCACAGAATATAAGTCTAAATAATGTATAAAAATAAAACTATTCCAGGAAGCACTGGAGTAATGAGACAATTATGAAATGTGGAAAAAATGAATAAATGAAAGCTGTTCTTGGACTCTGAAACAGTTGTGATTGACACTAGCAAATCTTTTCTCTCAGACTGATGCCAAGAGGATGACCAAGAAAGTTGCTCTTACACTGGCCTTTTTCTAATTCATTCTGAATGAACATCTAACAGGCTACAAGATTGTCTCCCGTTGTATGTAGTATGAGAGTTTTGTCACTCACCATCTTCAGTGGGTATATAGATGTTGAGGTAAAGGCAGTCCTCACTCTGGTTCTGAACATAGGTGGCTGCAGCATCCAAGTTGTCAGTGAACCACACTGGCAGCATGATCTCAGGTAAAACCCCGTGCACATTCTGGGGACACACAGGTGCAAAATGGGTGGCATTGCGAATCTCCTGCCAGGAGCCTGGAGCTTCAGGAGGCTGGAAGCGACGCTCACCAATAGGTGCGGTAGCATATGGCACACCTAAGTACTGCTCCACTGGGCCCAAGATCTCATTGTTGAGCTCCTTTCTGATACCACGGACCTTTCCATAGCCTGTGGATATGATGGGGTGTTTCAGGTCAACCCGTTGACATGAAGAAAGGGACAGGTGTAGCACAAGTCCCCAGAGCCACACCAGACTGTGACTAGCAACCTGGTGGGAAGTATAATGATGCTTCCCCCCACAGCCTTGGTGGCTGGCAGCATTAAAAGGAAAAAACAACATGTTGAAAATAAAGGCTGTTTTAGTCATATCACTTGGGTTTCAGCTGGGTGTAGACAGCGATCACAAACTCAGTGTGTTATGGGAAAAAACAAAAGGCAAAAAGAGGATGTGTGGAAGGGGACAGGTTAACAGTTTTGCTAGGGAGACATGGTGAGGTAGAGAGACAGGTAGCATTCTCAATTAGAAGCTGCAGTCTCATCTGTCTTCCTTTTTGGAACTCCTGATGGGTCCAGGGCTGCAGTCAGTGAGCCACTTATACCTGGAACACACAGACAGGTTATAGGTTTAAGTCAGTATGTGTGAATGGAAAAGGTGCACTCTTTAGGTCCTGTCAGTATGTTTAAAAAGGCACAAGAGGACAAAATGAAGATTCTGTGAAGTAACACCACTTTACTGCAGATGACTCCTTTATAGTACATCCATAATACCTGCTATTCTGTCTACCACAGCACAGATGTATGTGCTATGTCATGTTGCCTTGAAGAAAACTGATTTAACCTGAAAATAATGATGTCAATGACAATTTGACCACCTGCAGTAAAGTTGTTTCACTTACATTTATTTTGTGAAATAGTAACTGCCAGTTTAAAAGCTGAACATGAACTTTTTGCAACTAGGGATAACTTGGAAACTTGGGTTTTGAAATTATTAGAGGCTTACAGTAATTACAGGTTAAGACTCTAAGAATATTCAGTCTAACTGTAAACACTTAATTTGAAGACCAAAGTGAAACCTGTTCAGTGACCATTATGTAATGTGGTTTCTGCTTGCAGATAATCACAGTACATTCAAGTGTAAAACAATATATGTCTTATAATTAACTTCCACCCACAGAGAACACAAAAAGTAAATGTGAGTGAACATGCAAAACCCCAGTGGCCCCACACTCGTTTCACCAATGTGCCACAGTTCCTTCTCCTCTTAGTTCAGTTTAGTTGGTTCTTGCTTCCACATAATTACAGATGAATGGACAGTGCTTATCTCAATCTGGCTTTGGAGATGGAGCCATTTAGGTGTGATAAAGGCTGTAAGTGGTGCTAATTGTTGGTTGAATGCCACCTCATACCCCCACCCTCAGCTGTGCAATATCCACACTCAGTGACAGCCAGCAGACACAAGGAATGACAGTATGAGTACAGCAGAAAGATGGAATGCAGCATTATAGGATTTTAAAAGTTAGTGATGTGAGTGGCAAGACAGAAACAGCAAGCAGCAAGACGGAAACAAGCTTTCAGGAAAACTATTCAGTTGATTAAAGCCCTCTGAGTGACTTCATAATATGACAACTCTAGGAGGAAGGAAGATATGTTAGGATGCCCTGAATCTTCATCAAAAGTTAGTGTGCATACACAGTCAAGCTGAAAATCCAGTTTAGAGAAAGATTAATGTGAATTATACACAGCACATGGCATTCTACACACTGCTGTAAGACTCACTTTAAGGGGGTACCTTTGCTTTACCATAATTTGCCCAGTCAAGTGCATTTACAGGAACAGTTTGTCACTTTGGGAAATATGCTTCATTTCTAAGAGTCACATGATGAAGATTGATATCATTCTCATATACTGTATGTGTTAAGTTACATTTAGAAAATGTTAGCTTAGCTTAGCATGAAGTCTGGAAATGGGGAAACAGCTAGAATAAAGCTAACACATTTCACAAGCCACTGCTCCAAGCCTTGAAATAACCCTCATGAAATCATAACGTGTTTTTTCTCTCAGTTGTTGTATGAATCACACAAATGAGATATAACCTGCTGAAAGAGTATGTTACTATATTAATTTGCACTCCATAACTATGCTGGACTTGGAATCAACTGTTTAAAACAAAAAGGATCAAAAACAATGCAGCAGAACCTGAAATAATGTTTTGTTTTCTTTTTTTATTATCTCCCAAAGTAAAAATCTGGTGTCTACATTACTGACAAGATAACTCTCCTGTTTCGGGTGAGTTATCTAGTAGCAGCTGGAGGTGCTAGCCTGAAGCAGAGAAGAAGAGTGGGCTACTGGGGTCACTTTTTATAACTCCACATGTGTAGATTTTATTTATTTATTTATTTTCAAAATTGTATTCTTCAGGGCCTACCAACGCTGACTCATCAATATCACTTGCAGTCATTTATTTATTTTACATTTACTGTACATACACATTCATACACCTCTAAAATGACTTGTTTAATTTATGAGCTTTATAGTGGCTGGTAGATGAATTTTGTTACCTTCGGACACTGTCAGTCACAGTTTTGCCAATCATTAAGCTAACAGACCTTTTTCACTACTGGGACTAGCTGACCTATAACTGAAATTGTACCCATTGTCCCAATACCATGGAAACAAGTTCTGAGAGCTCAATTTCAGCACCGCTCAGGAGGTAGTACCAAATCTAGTTCCAAGTACCTGCAGGGTTGTCACAATTCAACTACAGCAACAACATACAGTAGCAGTAACCGCTTTTTACTTTCCAATCTGACTATTTTTGCCCTACAAGTTCAAGTTATGGGAAGTTCCAGGTAATGGCCTGGTAAGTTCTTGCAGCAGAAAAGCATTCTGTATCAATCCTCTCATCCCACTCTCCACCACAAATGTTAAACAAGGGTTTTAAGATACCACAAAGTGCTTCTTTATGGGGAACTCTGAAGAAAGTATTGAAAAAAAAGCATCTTGATAACTAGATGTGGAAGTGGTTTAGAATGCAATGTGTGGAGAGAGACTCAAATCTGAGCACAAGCCAGTCACAAGCTATACACAATCAATAGTACTGGAAGTTGATATGATAAAGAGGGAGACTGAAAACAACACAAACAGACTAACATACTAAGTATAACAAGTACAATCACACACACCCATCACATTCTTTATTACATTCTGTTACGGTTTCACGTCGATCTGCTTCCGGGATTTATGTTTCTGTTTACCTGTTCTCTCCCCGCTACTCTGTCACCGCTATCAATCATCATTCCATTCACCTGTTGCTCGTTGTTCCCCGCTGTTCTGCCACCACAATCAGTCACCATGTCATTCACCTGCTGCTCATTATGTCCCGGTCTGGTTCTGTACATACTGTATACACCTGTTTTCTGTTCATTCATACCCTTAGTACGATGTGTGCGTGTCCCGAGATTACTGCGCTTCAACTCTGTGTTCAGATCCTTCTCTATCCATTTCTGCTTGTTTCTGCAACTCAGCAGCCTCGTTTACTCTCCGCCTGGTTAGTCAGTACTCCTCGCCGTTACTTGTCTTTTTTTGTTTTGACTCACGTAAATCCTTAGCTCCTCACCTTTCTGTTTCGTTTATTTACCAGCTAGCACTCCTATCCGTGTGTATCTGTCTGCTACTCTGACTGCTAGTGCTCCTCTGCTAGCGCTACTTCACTGTATACCTGAGGGCTACTACTCTGCTAACTGGAATACCACTGCCACTGCTACTCTGCTGATTTGATTGCCCTGGTTCGTGTGTGTGCCTCCTGTACTGCTGCTCGTCCTCTGGTTCCTGTGTCCCTCCTGGTGCCGGCTCTCCTGGGTTCCTCGTCTTCCTGCCACCTAGCATTACCTGTGTTTTGTTCATTAACCACTTTCTTTAGCTCCCACTCCTCCTGGTCTCTGTCTGCAACTGGGGTCCACACCACACTCACACGTAACATTCTTTATACAAAATACTGTGTAAAGCCTAAGATTTAAAACGGTTTTGGTTTAGGCAACTGCAGCTGTCACTGCTCATTGCTTACATCTACTATATTTATGTGCACATTTTGATTTTAAGAGAAGCATCTGTACTCTTATTCTCTCAGTAAATGAGACTGGTCATACAGTACCAACCCAAAGTCAGATCACCTTCAGAAATCACGGCAGTACCAGGGATATACACAGCTATATGTCCTTACTAACTGGGATAGCAAAGGTGTGGGCCAGCATCTGTAGCCTGTCAGATTATCTGTACCACTCTGTCTCCCTCCATGTACTAGGAATACTCACACATGCATAACCTCCACTGAGGCATCAGATGTTGCATGTGAATAGATTACTCACAAACTGGTCTGTTCTCAACCTCTCACATTTGACTTACAAATGGTAGTACCCTAACATCCATAACATCTGTTGATGTCAACTAACCATGAGCTGAAACAGCTCTCTGTATCTTTACACACAAATTGGGGTAAACTGACATACAAATCACCACTCTGATGTAAGCCGATTCTGTTTTTGTTTTAAATAATAGGTAGCCTGTCCACTGAAGCTGTTTGACAAGGTAATGTCTCTCTGCCAGTGTGACACTTTCATGAGTATGTTTAAATGGAATGGCCAAAGTGGTTTGTGAAAACTTTCCCCGAAAGGCAGCACTTGAGGAAAATACTCATCTAGGGATTTTTATCTTGCTTTGTTTTCACTTTGAGTGTTAAAACTACATGCACTACTTCAGCTGTCAAGATGCTCTCCTCTGCTAGTCAACATCTGTGGATGACAAGCAGCCTAGCTGTAAACCGAGAAACAGCTGAATTTTTGACTACACTTGCCTGTGTGATATCCACTGTCAATGTTTGGAGGAAAAGCAGCCTTTTTATTTAAAAGTAAAAGTCAGGTCAAGATATGTTGCCTTCTCTTGCAATAAACAATAGGCACAGCAATCTACTAACTCCTTTTTGCAAGAAACATCAGTGGTATTTAAAACACATTTACTTAAGTCCTAGTCCCATACCTTGTGTGACTTATGGGCAGAACTTCCAGTTATTAGGTTCAAGGTTCAAGAATTTTATTGACAATTCATCATATGTGAAGGACATACAGAAAATTGAAATAATTCTCTCTCACCTAGTATTGGGTGCCATAACATTTAGGAACTAAAATGGAGTTAAGTAAAATAAAAATAGAATCAAATAAGAACTGGACTGACATAATTAGGAGAATTACCTCTGCCTAATGTTACCAGTGTGTGTTGGTTGGTTTATTCACAGCATGCAGGTAACTCAAAAAGTAATGAATAGATTTGGATGAAATTGTTTGGAGAGGTAAAGCAATCCATTAGATTTTGGTGCTGATCCAGATCATCATCTGGCTACAGAAATGTGTTTTAAGGATTCTTCACCACTGTGAGTGCTGGAAAGGCTGTTGACTGTTTGTGAATCTCCTTGCAGCAAAAGTGCACAACTGCACTGTTGAGCACTTGGACTGAAAATTAGTGGATCTAATAAGTGCAGCAGGAGGCTCATTGGGGAATGGACTCTAAAGTAGACTTACATGCAGCCAAGTGGTGTGAGCTGTGTGCG